GGGAGGGAGGGGGGGGGGGGGGGGGGGGAGTTTTGCCGGGGAAGGAGGGGGGGGAGGGGCTCGAGCAGGGGAAGGGGGGGTGGGATTTCCGGAAGGGGGGGGAACCCCGGGCTCCGGAGGAAGAGGGGGGGAATTCTCCACAGCAAAACGGCGGTGGATCACGCTCTCTCATATCTGCATATAAACGTTCAATCTTCTCATACAGTGCATTCTTCTGTCCACTCCCAAACAATGTCCTTATCTCCTGTTCTGTCTACATACGTACATAGACACCCCTCTCAGTACACATGTACATATTCATGTGTATACGTATACACGTAAGAATGCATATATCGCAGGGCATGTTCCTTACACCCTCCTCCCTCCACACCTCCCATGCTCATCCATCCGTCCGAACTTCCCACTCTCTCTTTCTCTCTCTTTCTCTCTGTCTCTCTTTCCCTCGCTCTCTCGCTCTCTCTCTCTCTCTCTCTCTCTCTCTCTCTCTCTCTCTCTCTCTATATATATAGAGATATAGATATCCCTCTTTATCTCTCTCTCTCTCTCTCTGTTTCTCTCCCTCGCTCTCACTCTATCTCTCTCTCTCTCTCTCTCTCTCCATGTCTCTCTCTCTCTCTCTCTCTACATGTGTATAGATATAAATTTCGTGAGTGTGCTGTCTTTCTCTCTCTCCCTCTCTCTCTCTCTCTCTCTCTCTCTCTCTATCTCTCTCGATGTCTCTTTATATCCCTCTCTCTCTTTCTCTTGCGCTTTTCCATGTGTGAGTATATACAGACACATACATACATGAGTCTCTGTACTTGCCATAGGCGGCTACCGAGTGAAAGTCGCGCATGTCGGGCGCGGACCGCAAGCTGAATTGGAACGACGATGGTTGAGGAAGGGAGCCGGGCTCATGGTGAAGGTTTTCGCATATACCAGATTCTGGCTCGAAGCGCAGAGGGGCCCAGCCGAGGCGCATGGCCTCAGGCATGCCACCTTGTTTTACGCTTCTATCTAGTATGTCGTTAAGTTCTTGCTTGACATTGACTTTTAAGCCGCCAGTGCCCCACTCTGTGGCACATAGTGTGTCGATGTTTCATGATCGCCGAGTGGGGGGTTATAGGCTCCGGCGTCTGCCCGTGTTCACGGGAAGGTCCCATTGGTACGAATCGGGCAGGGGGAGAAGGGCATGGATAAGATAAGAGTTGGAAGGATGGGAAGCAGTTTGGACAGATGACACCCAGGCGAGTTGCCCTGATCAGGAATGCGGAGGAGCATGCAGTGGAATAAAGGGCAGGGGAAGCCGTCATACCCCAAGAGGGGGAGGATATAGGAGGAATCGGAAGAGGGGGAGGGGGAGAAGTGAGGAGGCAGGAGGAGGAACAGGCGGATGAGGAAGAGGAGGAGGAGAATGGATAGCAGATGGCGTGAGGACTCGTGGATGCCTCTCGGAGTCTCTTCGGATGTCTATTGAGAGTTTCTTGGAATCCTCTTCGGGCGTCTTAGGGGGCCTCTTGGCGGTCCTGGGGGCCTCTTGGAGCGCCTCGGGTGAACCTCTTGGGGCCTATTGGGGGTCTCTTTGAAGTCTCTTGGGGACCTCCCGTAGCCATTTTGGTTCAAGATGATCCACATTCGGGGGCAACGCCCTGGTGGACAAAGGGATACCGCTGGTCCGCGGCGAGCAGGGCGGTTTACCGCTCGGCAGTCGGGCGCGCCATGCCAGCAAGGGGCTGGCCCTGGCGCTCAACCTACGGCTACTGGTCCTGCAGCTGCGGGACGGCGGACAACTACGCAACGAGGAAGAAATGCCGCAGCGGCAGGAGCTGCAGTCTTTCAAGCAGCAGGACCGCGGCGGCCACAGCGACGACGACGGAGAGGAGAAGCCTGTTGACTTGGACAAGCTCTACAGGTGGGCGCAGTCCTGCAAGACGGAGTGGGGCGATACGTCCAACGAGTACCAGCAGGCGCAGGAGCGCTACTTGCGGGCCAAGGACGCCAAAAACAGTGCCGAGCCGCATTCGGCGCAGCTCACCCAGGCTCGGATCGCCAGGGAGAAGCTCGAGAAAGAAGAGCGCACCATCTACGATGAGGCCAAGCGGCACGAGAAAAGCACGCAGGAGGCCCAGGAGCGTCTGGCCAAGAAGCGCGAGCAGCTCGAGGTTGCGCGCGCTAAGGAGCAGGAGCCCAAGGTGCAAGACTCCACCACGAAGGGCATGGGGTTCCTCACCGCCATGCAGAAGAAGTACGAGGCCGCCGTTGAGGGCAGCGGAGTCCCCAAGGAGGAGTACGACCAGCTCTTCGTCACCTTCAGCAAGGTGCTCGGCAACGTCAAGGAGGAGCCCAAGGACGACAGCAAGGACAACATGGACACTGCGGAGCCTGGTGATGCTCCTGCTAGCGGCGGCGGTGGGGGCGCAGCCGCAGCCAGTGCAGGAGCAGCACGAGTGCCCAAGCTTACTCAAGAAGAGCATGAATGGCTTGCAGCAGGAGGAGTTCCAGCAGATGCCTGTGAGGCTCAACGTAAGCGGCGGTTTGAAGTGTGCGCCACTTTGGCAGAGCACAACAAGCAGGTCAAGCGTTCCTGGCAGGAAACGCCAGAAAGAAATACGACTGCCTCACCCTGTGGACGTTTAACGGCTCGGGCTGGGGCACCATGAAGGAGAAGATCGAAGTGACGGTGCAGGGTACCTTGCAGTGCTACGCAGAGCAGGAGCATCGCCTCACGGACGACAAGCTGGCTGTGGTGTCGCAGAACATGAAGGTGCGGGGGTACCAGCTCGGCGGTGTAGCAGCCAACTCTACGACGGGACCAGGTGGGGAACCAGGCGCATCAGCGGGTGTGGCAGTGGCAGCTCCACGCAGCATCGGCATGACCTACCTGCACTGCAAGGAGAGGTGGGACATCTCGCCGCGGGCAAGTCCAGGACGTGCTACGGCGGCGTGGCTGTCGGCCGGCAAAGGTGTGATCTACGCTTCAGTCTACTTGTGGACAGCTGAGGGCATGAGGTATAGGAACACGGAGATCATCAACAAGGTGATAGGGCAGTTGGGGACGCTCGGGGCGCCGTGGATCATCGGGGCCAACTTCCAGGTCGAGCCCGAGAAGATGGCCGAGGTGGAGAGCGTTAAGGCGGCCAGGGCGCGAGTGATAGCGTCAGGGGCCGAGCGCGGCACGCGCAGGCATGCATATGGTGTCAGTGAGATCGGCGACTTCATCGTGTCGGACCAGGTCGTGGGGCAGGCGATGCAAGTCAGGGCGCAGGGGGAGTGGCCGCCGGCGCCCCACAAGCCTGCCGGGCCCACCATGCGACTCAAGGTGCGTGAGCGGTTGGTCAGGGTGCTGGAAAAGCCGAAGGCGTTGCCCGAGCTGGCGATCGGGCGCACGCCAGCGCCGCCGCGGTGCAAGGAGACCGAGAGTTTCAGCGCGCAGGAAGAGGCCAACAGTATTTGGGCGACCTACACGCGGACGCTAGAGCAGGAGGCGTTCGCCGCGCGAAGCATGGGCTGGGCTGAGGACCACACATCAGCTGGGCGAGCAGAGGAGCCGACGTGGAGGATAAAGCCGCTGAGCTACGGGGGCGAGAACTTACCACCAGCAGCGCGCGAGGCAGTTTGGCGGAGATGGCTGGAACGGACTCTGCAGAACCTGCAGGGAGCGCACAACCGCATCGGGGCGGCACGCACCGAGCAGGTTCGGAGGCGCAGGCTCAAGGAGGCAACAGCTCAGGAGCACCAGCTCATCACCAGCAGGCAGCGAACCAATCACATCGGCACCGAAGAGCAGGGCAAGTGGCAAGCTAGATGTGGCTGAATAGCAGCTGGACTGCTACGAGGCGACGGACAGCTACCAGCGGCGCAGCAGATGGCCCAGGAGAACCGCGAGAAGATGAAGGAGCATGACCAGCAGTTCCTCAAGGAACGCAGAGCTAGGTGGGCAGACAAGCTGGAGCAGGCAGCATCAGGCGCGGCAGGTGGACTACACAAGTTGAGCAAGGCGGCTACGGTTTGGCGACCACGCAGAGCGACAACAATGGAGGAATCAGCGGACCCCATTGCGGCAGCGGAGCATTCGCTGCAGGAGTGGAACAAGATCTGGCGCGTTGGCGAGCGCATCCAGGAGGAGCCGAGGCCAAGGGAGATCGAGGAGCGCGACCCGATTGCGGAGTTCACGGAGCAGGATGTTGAGAAGCCCAAGGTGGTCGCGAGGACCTCCAGGAAGAAGACGGGCATCGGGTGGACAGGTGGCACCCGTCCATGCTGCAGGGGGGCGTCGGAGGACGCGTACCGCAGGCTGCTGGGCGTCTACTTAGAGGTGGAGAGGACGCTGCGCTGGCCGATACACATGAGCACGGTGCTGTTCTTCACGATCCCGAAGACCTTCACCACAGACAGGGTCATCGGGCTGCTCCCAACAACGATCCGCGCGTGGGAAATCACGCGGGAGCAGTATATGATCAAGTGAGCGAAGGAGAATCATAGGAGCTGGGATTGCACGAGCTACGGCAAGGCGGCAGAGGACGCAGCGTGGGCGGTGCTACTCAGCCACGAGATGGACGACGCAGAGGACCAGAGCGAGGAGATGCAGGCGACGATCATGGCGGTCTTGGACCTGGTGAAGGCTTTTGGGAAGGTGAGCCTCCACGTGCTGTGGGGGGCTGGGAAGCAGTTGAACTTCAACACGGGCGCGCTGGCGGTGGCGCGCTTGTATTTCGCAACGACGAGGCGACTGATCGCGGGCGACCCGGTCTCCAGCGAGACGGGGACGGTGGCCGCTATCATCGCGGGTAGCAAGTTCTCGGCGCCCCCCCGGAAGATGGTCATTCAATATACGATGGACGGCCTCGTCGTGGAGAGGCCGCGCGCGAGATGGCGCATGCACGTGGATGACCTGCGCGCAAGGGTGGGACAGCAGCACAAGTACATCGTGAACGAGTTCAGCGATACGATCGACGCGTGCCTCGCGGACTTCTAGGAATTGGCTGAAGTTCTCGGTGGGCGGCGCAGGCAAAGGAGCGGTCATGGCGAGCACGAAATGGGAGCGCAAGGCGGTGGCAGAGGACATGCAGGACAGGGGCATCCCAGTGGTGAGGGCGCGCCCATACCCTGGCGTCGACATCGCAGCGCACGGCGCGGCGGCGAAGACCAAGAGCGGCAAACGCTACAGCATCATGAAGGCTAGGAGCAGGCGGCTGCTCAACATTAGAGGAGGTGGACGCAAGATGGCGCGGGGCGTCGGTTTGGCATTCAAGCGCGGGCTGAAGAGGTCGGCGCTGCACGGCTGCAAGTGCTTGGGAATGCCAGATCACCAGAGGAGACAACTGAGGCGAGAAGCAGGGCGACTATTGCCAGGATGCCGAGGAGCCAGGAGTTTGACGTTGCAGTTGGCGGTGGCTCAGGAGGAGCCCACTTACGAGGTCACGGAGGCGCCGATTGTCAGGTGGGCGCGAGCTGTGTGGCAGACAGCACAAGCGCAGAAGGCTGCAGGCGACGACGGGGACAGCATTGCGCACATGTTGCAGCAGGCGCGGCGGCGGCAGCAACAGGAGGTCGGTATGAAGTCGGCTTGGGCGCGAGTACGAGGGCCAGCAGGAGCGGTCATCTTGTCCATGAGGAGGGCGAGTTGGACCTGGCCAGCATGGCACAAGTTCGTCACCAAGGAGGGTTACGAGCTGAACATGATAGAGGCTTGCCCCATGGATGTAGCAGCTATGTTGCGCAAGGACGCGCAGAGTAAACTGTTGGAGGACTGGGCCAAGGCCGAGGAGTACCAGAGCTTGAGCCCAGCGCCCTTGTTGGCGCCAGCGGTCGCCCAGTTGCGCGCTAGGGAGTGCCCAAAGCACGCCAAGAACGCGGCGAAGAAGGTGTTTCTGGGCGGGGCTTGGACGATGGCGAGGCTAAGCCAGTGCAACATCGTGCCGACGGACATCTGATTGGCGTGCGGCAAGGCAGTAGAGACGGAGCACCACAGGCGCTACAAGTGCGAGGCGCTCAGGGAGCAGCGGCTGCAGGCGCGGGCGGATTGGCAGACCGTGGCGGCGCAGCAGGGCACGAGTATGTTGTGGACGCGTGGGCTGGTCCGCACGCCAGAAGCGGACTGGACCTTCGTGGGCATCGGAGAGGACCAGTTTTACGGCCAGGTGGTACAGGGCGATGAGGACTACTTCACGGGTGAGATCGCGTGCGACGGATCAAAGTTGGGCTACAGCGAGCGGGCTCGAATTGGATGGGCAGCTATGTCACTCACGGACGAGGGCAGCGCGAAGATGCAGCTGTAG